ACCTCCGAGCTTGGGGCACCCCATGAACGCTGCTCATCCCATGACCAATTCTCAGCCCGTCCTCGGTCTCGCCATCCCTGCCTCCATGATGCCCAGGACGTCGATGTCCATGAGGAGTCATCACCAGGTTGATACCAACCATCGCTGCCACCCAACCCACTCACATCCAGTGGATTCCCCCATTCCGAATCACCTTCAGATGCATTGGGCTCAACTTGGACCTCAAAAACCTCGTAGTACGAGGTCATCCAAAACCCCCAGCCGTAGGGCTCGAGCACGACCACCCCAAACCACCGTAGCCAGCTCCCCCGCGCCGCCGCCCACAGCGCCTATGGCCCCGGATCGAAACCTGCTCCGCTGCCACTTAAACGTGGCAGCGACCGAACCTTTTCTACCGCTCGAGCCCTGCAGCTCCGATCGAGGGACCGTCGGCGGGGCCGGTTCCGTTTCACAATAATTGTTTTAATATGTTTTAATATTGTATATACATGCCGTACGTGGAGAAAGCGTTCCTGGATGTTCTTGTGCACAGTAATTTGGCAAACTTCATGATCCTATCCACTCTCGACTCTCTACTATCTATGATCAGTTCTGTTCCTGTGCCAAGCTTCATGGTTGATCCGCTGCGGGACCTCCCAGACATCCCCAGGCCTCGCCTTGGACGGCCCCATCAGGCGCTCGCAACAAATCAGGAACTCCGGCGCCGTCAGCGCGCCGTCACCATCACCTGAGGGTGTGGAGTCATCAAACGTCAAGCTCAGCCGGTGACCGGTCTGAAACCCTGATCTGCTCACCGGTCTGGAAAGTGAAGAGGTTCCCTAAATTGAGCAATCGAGCCCAAAACACTCATTAACCTTATAAATTCTGCTCAAAGATTAGATCAAATCAGATCGTCCTGTTTGGCTCAGTGGGGTGGGCCTCTTCATATCGTCCTTTGCAGCCGTTTCCCCTGACGGTCAGCTGTTGAAGATCCGAAGAAGTGCACCACGAAGGTCTAGATGCACGGTAGGCTGCCAGCTTGTGTAGGTGTGCACAGTCTGGTCCACCAACCCCACGGGTTGGGCGAGTCCCCGAAAAGGGCCGAGCAGCCTGCGCTTCATGGGAAATGGCCCACGGTTCGGAGGAGGTTCTTCCTGTTCTGAGGGTCCAAACATCAGTGACCCCCAAACTCCTCTGGTAAAGGGACATGACTACCTGTGGAACCCTGGTTCTTTCGGCCCATCATGAGCAATGGTGCATCTTTCCTCGCCGGTTGCATCCGATATCAATGCCTTTGAAGAAAACCAATGCTCCACGCCGTGATTCGTCTTTGAACGTGTCCCAGGTGCGATCAATCATGGCAAAGACCTGCTTTGGGTCCTGGTCACGATCATGGATTCGCAGTCGGGGCGGGCCGTTGAGATGTTCATGGCGACCAGCCTTGTTCTCGAACGTGTTTGGAGGCGGAGCTCGCAGTTTAAGAGTGAAGCCGTGACTTCCCAAAACACATATGAAATGCGCCCGGATGCTGTGTAATTACATAGCCCCTTACACGAAGCAAGTGGGAACCAACACGCCATGCATGGCATTCATGGGTCTAAAGGACACACCCGAAAAATGCTTTCGGAGCCACTGCCCAGTCTGCCCAGTGATGAAGTTTCAGCATCACGCATGGGTCACTGTTCATGCGAACAGTCGCGAAGCGTCACGCAAGGGCCGCAAGGGTCTTCTGATGTCGATCTACCTGATTTTGAGGGCTAAATGTCCGTCCTCTGTGTGGGCATTGATGAGATCCAAAAACTTTGTCATACCTGAGCTGCAGCGGCTGGACACTTCTGGGCCAAACGACACGAAGTGACCCCATTCAGGGACTATAGCTGTCCCACACCTTTTTACTGAACGTTTCCAGTTCCCAAACACACTTTGGTAACCTTTGTTTCACTTTCTTGTTGAGCAACATCACGCATCACAAATATGATAAAATGAAGACAGTGAGGAAATTCTAGAGTTCGACTATGTTCCACTTACAAACTGCCATGAATCCTATGTTGGTACGTTACTGGACTCGGACTTACTGACTGGGCAGGATCTGCTCGACGAAACAGGGTGTTGCAACACGCCACGCCTTTCGTCCCCAATTCACCACGACACATCCGCTACACCACTACTAAGGCTTCAGGCAAAACAGAACGAGCTCAGCTCAACAAGCCACGGGGTAGCCACGGTGAACGAATTCCCTCACTGAGGGGAACAACACATAACAAAACCATGTCATGTCTTGGGTAAATCCTATTCACTGCAAGACTGGATGGTGATTGAATATTCCAGGACGTTTCCAAAACACACAGAGCATCGGCAAACCGCCCCATGGTCCGACTGAGCCCGTTAACAGATGTTAACAGCTGATCCTCCCGCGCGACCGCAAGATACCGCAACGGCAAAGACCAAGGTGCTAGGCTCCCCGTAGCTTCCAATGAACTGCTCCTTGGTGACGATCTTCTTTTGTGTTCGAGCCTCAAGGCGGGACGGTTCTGGGGACCTTTTTTTGGGGGAGGTGCTTGAGAAAAGGGTTGTCTTTTTGCTTGTGGTTCCTGCTAGGCAGTTTCACGATGTCCAACGTCAATTTGAAGGGGGGCTACTTTTCTATCTTTTTAATCCATTTTGGGATGCCTATGAAATGAGGAAACGTCCCAACACTTATGGGTGCTCATGTTGCAAAAGCTTGCTTAATTCACACTCATTTTAGCATCTGTGTTGCCAAGGAGCCTGCTCTCACTTTCTCCATCAAAAGTTGGCCCAAACTCAAGTCCCAGCAAGGGTCTGCAAAAACATCAAAGGCTGCATCGCTGCATTGCATGAACAACAAAACTCTAAGCACCAACTGGCAGCATTCGGCAGCCAGGGAAGCTTTCAGGGAAGATCCTCACCCGCAGCTACTTCGGGTTCATCGAGTCAGGGACACAGTCTGCCATCCTGCCTGGCCCTCTACATCAAATTCTGCAGCTGTTGTATCAACTCAGGAATGCCCAAACAACACTGACAGCACTGAACGACCTGAACGAGAACACTGACAAAGGAATTGCTCTTCTACATTTCCATTTCCCTCAATCCCCACATCTCAGTTGGGGAGTCGGAGTGCATGGAACACTGACTGATCCACATGATTGCTCGAAACCACACCAACTGCTCTGAGGCACATCGTAGTTGGCATCAGCATCTAAGAGGCCCCACAAGGATTCCAGGCATTCCTGCACATTCCAAGCTGTGTCCCAGAATGTGACACACACACAAAGCTCGTTCTCCCTAGAAGTCCAAATGACTGTCATGAGTCATTGGAAGTTCTGGAGTTTTGCATTTTTGAACTCTGACTGGCTGTGACAAAGCCGTTCGTCCATGGGTCTGGCCTGGTCGGGCCGTTCATCGTGGACTGTGGACACCAATAGCAAACCACCACGTCTATATATTCCGGTTCAGGAAAGGAAGGAAGTTGCAGGGACAAAAGCAAGTCACTTATAGCAAATGAAATGATTGAAGGTGCAACTCAAGTTGCTTCTTTTGCCTTCGGTCTTCTGGACATGGACATTGAGTGACCCTCCTATCGCACTGGTTAGCCCCCAAATCCGCTAGTATCAAGATAAAAGAGGCTCTACACGGCAAGTCCGACAAGTAAGAATCATGTTTACCGTATGTCAAGCACCTGTCGGTAATCTTTTGAGGTTCACATACTATATGGTCCGCAGTTGCCGCGAGTTCTCAAAATGTGCTGACATCCAAAAGAACTTTTGCAAGCATGACTGATCAAAACATCAACTATATAGACAACGTGTGAGGATGCTCCATCTTCAATCTACCAAATGACCACGAAAAGGAGTGCCCCCAAATAGCATCTGTTTGGTTGAGCCCTGCCCGAAAGACATCTGCTGTGTTTGGTTTTCACCCCTGGCATAACTCTGCACATGGACGAGGTCTGGTTGGAGGTGGGGGCTGCGCTTCTCGGGTCTCCTGCTTCTCGGCATTCGCGGCGATCATCATGGCCTGATCGGCTCGCGCACGCAAAGCGGATCAGTGGAGGAAGGCCAATCAAGATGCTGATGAAGGTTGCAACTTCTGACTTGTCACTGTCAAAGGTCTAGCGAAGGCTGAAATGAGGACATGGTACAAAGCTACAGGAGTACCATTGTATGACTCAGCAAAAAATAGTACAGAATCTACTGAGACGTACCGGTTGGCAAACAAGTGGTCTTCCAACGGAGTTAACTATTTGCATCTTCCTGAACCCACCTGACCTGGGACGCAAATCACCTTCATTCCCTACAACTTGCCAACCACCAGTTTTGCTGTAGATCCGTGTTTTGAGCCAGGGGTCGTTTCACCGCTGGACGGTTAAAGCCTGGGGGGGTCGTTCCGACATTCCTGGACCGGACCAAATTGGGTGGTTTGGATGGCATCCTTGACATTCCTGGACCTGTTCTAGTAAAAGGACAACTGGCCAACCTACAATCTTGGCGGCTGGAAACACGGAAGAGGTCTATGTCACCCAGGTCTGTGTCCACAGAATCGACTGTGACCAGGGATTCTGCCGAGGTTCGATCCGGTTGCCGGTTGAAACCCGGTGAAACCGGACGACGCGCGGACACGGCGCGGTCACACGGCTTTGGCTGAGGGACACTATCCACGAAACAGGCGGTGATGATATTCATCATGGCAAAGAGCTCGAATCCTGTGGAGATGACTGAGGGTCGCAGTGATGAGTTTCTGAGCAAAATCTAAAACACAAATATATATATATATATTGATATCATATGAGCACCAACTTCAGTTCATGCACATGTTTGCTGCTTCTAGGCTCAGCCGGGCCATGTTCCATTCCTCCTGTCTATTTTTCAGATGATATTTGAAGTATCCAGAAGACGTGTGACAGTGTTGTCAAGAAAAAACCATATACCGATATAAAGACGAGTAAACAACGTATTCACAAGCAGAAAGCAGCTCCAAAAGTCATATATGACTTACGTCCCTTCTATAGAAAAATGTACGGAGGAGAGGGATAGCACCCGGAAAAAAAATAGAAAACTACAGCCTGCTCATTCATCTAAGGTTTATGCAACATAGTCCAGTGTTTATTCAAACGTTCTGTACCTACAGCAATCTGTGCGTGCATGAAAAGTCCCGCAAAAACGGTGACAGCACAAACATCATACAAAGTACAATAAAATCAAACCTGTTGCAACTGGGAAGCAAGCAAGACCTTATTGATCCTTATCATATCTTATTAAACCTGTCTGTCTGAATGTCTAGTCTCGCGCCTGTGAAAGTCACGAAGACGATGCGAACCCAGCCGCCCATGTTCTCCACCAAGGGGTCCATCAATTCTCGCCTGGTCTTCACGGTGGCTGGATGTCTAGATGGTTGGTTGGAGAACAAACGAGATGGCTCGCTCACTCGCAAGTGTGAACCCGGGGTGGTCCATGCGACGGAGGTTCTCCAGGAGTCGGAGTGTTCTGCAAGGATTCTAGACGTGGGGACGGCTACAATCCTATAAGTTGCATGTTACACAGTTCCCACCTCAAATGTAGTGAGCTTCTTCGGGGATGGTTTATATTGTTTCAATCAGGAATATGGGAGAGAGTGTAGCTGCAAAATAGGTCCATGGTCACCACTTCTGCAAGCAGCTTCTCACGCAGCCCAGCAACTATGGTTTTGTTGCAGCAACTAATGTCAACAAGTTTCTTACGAATTGACATTGAATTAGAGTACAGCATCAGCATCATCACCTACCAAGGTCGCGACAACTCCAGTGATCACCACATACAAGCAAACACATGCAACTGAATGAACAAATAAGAATGCTTGTGGAAAAAGAGCTTCTATCTACTATTTGGGTGCTCTATATATACCCCCCCAAAAAGGCCTGCAAGTCACCCACAGAAATCCACTCACAATCACTCACAGCCACGTTGTCAGATTCAACTGCAAGAGGAATCTCTGCACAATACCCGCTTGAAGCAAAGCCTTGACCTGCCACAAAACTCTGGCCAAGAGATCTGGTGTGTTCATTGGTGTCTTCGATAATCCTAAAACCTCCCACCCGCCATTCTGATCCACGCTGCCAGTGAATGCCCTCTGAAATCACCTCAGGTATGCAAGACTTCCATCAGGTCTGATAAAAAGGTTGGCTCCAGCCTGACTGGATGATAATCACCCAACTCGGAAATGAAAATGGCATTGGTTAAGTTGCCCTTCCTCACACAAGATCCCAGAAACCTCCAGTGACGGGTCCATTCTACAGTGGGCTGCTACCAGGTCACAGGTGCTTTAAAAAATAAAGGGGCACTCCTGGCAGTGCAGCTTTTTCCCTTTCTGCATTTGAGAGAAGAATGACACCGCCGAACATTCCTAGAGGATCCAGGAGGGCACTCTTGGGAAAACCTTTCCGAACACTAACCAAGAAAAGCAAACAAACATGTTTCAGAAGTATGTTTTTGTCGTGTTTGTGGAGGAGGGTTCAGTCAAGACTCTAGAAACTATATGTTGTTCTTTGGGGCCAACCCTTCCCAGTCCAAGATCTCGGAGAAATAGTGGTACTTTGCTTTTAGGACTGCCGCTTTTTGCTGAAAAAGTTAAGCAAAGAAAATAACTCTTGATGATTTCTCGAGTATTATTTGGCATCCCATCTGTTTTGTGTTTTAAATGTTCCCATACTAAACTGATTTGTGTCAGGCTCATTTAGCTGCTCCTTTGTTTAATCAGTGTTACCTTTCCTTGCCTAGAATCTACTAGCTCCAGAATTGGTTTGCATCTCTTGCATTTATTTCTATTTGGCACATTCATTTGTTGAATTGATTTGTCTTGTCTTCTCTATGTCCTTCAACAATGACATTGTTGTGTTTCTCAGGAGGCTTCTTTTGACACGTGCATAGGTATTCTGTGCTTGGCCCTTTCTATGACCAGATTCTGAAGCAAATGGTCAAAGGAAATGCAATTGAAGGAGCAAGACCAAACGCAAGCGGGTGATTGGCCATCATCATGTGTTGCTCTTTAATTTTAAGTTGCCGGTTTGCATAACCAGGGGCTCTTCCCTTCTGGCCAAGATTCCTCCAAACTCGTGATCCGTGCTCAAAGGACCGACCAAACGTTAGTCAAATGAAGATTAGGATCTTCCCTAACAGAGAGCGCCGTGCTCTTAGGATGCATAAATATATGATTTTATACGTCAAAGCCCTTATCAAGGATGAGCATGGTTACAATGATGATAGCATAGTAGACTTGAGAGGCGGGGAACGAAAGCGATGACAACGACGAATGTGAAAACACCTTAGGATGATGTTTGTGATGTCGTGTCCCTTAGAGAGGGGGGGCCAATCAATATCACTTCAATTCGTTAAGGGGGGGGTCCTATTGATTATTGATTCACTTCACACAAAGTGGGGGGGAGCGTTTGTAGCTATTTTTCAATTGACCCCTTCGATTTTGACCCATCTAATAAACTGAAACTTCAACTGACCTCCTTCGGAGATCGCTTTCGTGATTAGGTTCTGGATAAGGTGGGATGCATTTCCATACGGTCGGATTTTATGATATGTAAATTGTGCAATGGAGAATAGCATTCCATGATAGAGGAGGATCTGTGTTAGAGTGCTTGTATGTAGGCATAGGTTCCACAAAGGATATATGCAGCATATATGCATATATATATATATGCATATATATAATATAGCAATATTCTTATGAATGAAGAAAAGGAAGGACCCTTCAAAAACACCAATGCTAAAAACTAGTTTCACGTTAGGCGGGGTTTGCCTTGTCTATGAAATTGATAAACTATGTCAAATGATCAGCCGCAGCATCAAAAGGCTAAACAGGCACACTGCCACCCCTGCCCACCCAACCTGTTCAACTCTGGCCTTGCAAAATGAGTTAGAAACACATAGACATGGGTCTAGCCTGTGCACAACCAATAAATAGAAACGACCCCCAACACATTCATCCAGGGGATCTATATATATATATATGCACTTGCAATAGAACGTGGTCGGGTGTGCATTAGAATGGGCAGTCTCGGAAATCAAGCGAACACAAAGTATATATATAACAAATCACTGCAACACTTATTAAGACCCACCAGTCCCGATTTTGCACAAAGTACATACAAATTTTAAAAATTCAAACATATACAAACCCATGTGCTTTGGGCCGGAGGGCCTTTATACCCGAGTGATTGGCTGTGACCACTCAGTGGCTCGTGTCTTATCGTGCCTTCGACTCGTGGGAATCGTTGGCTCAAAACACATGGGGGATGGTCCCAAAAAAAATCACCTGTGGATCCTGAAAGCACTGCGTCACGTTCTCACGCAACTGACAACTGAATGGGCCTGAAAGCCCCACCCAACTGTCACTTGCACGACTGCACGACTACTATATATCTCGAACATATCTCGAACAAAGGAATCTTGCACAGCATCTTTCCGTTTGGGGTTGAAACATCGTCGTCTTGATATTGGCCCTTCTGGAAGTCTAACCAGCCCTTGTACGTGTAGGCTGTTTAGAGTAAGTAAGAACAAGACGGGAATGACACACACTATCACTCTCTCTCTCTCTCTCTGCCTTTCTATCCTTTCTTTACCCATGACATTCCGATGGAAAACTGAGCCCTATGAGTCCCAGTCCTATGAGCTCCCCATCCCCCCCCCCCAAAAAAAAAGAAAGGACACGCCGAAAGGGGCATCCAGGATCGCCATCTCTCAAATTGATCAAAGCGTCCATGTAGAGAGAGATCATCGTCGTGTCCAATGATCCGAAGAACTCCAACAAAGGCCTGACATTGAGGAGCTAGAGGACGCTACGAACGTAGCTCCTGGCATTACTAGTAACAAGAAGCTACTGGTAACAAAGGGCATGACTACTAGGAGCAAATAGCTATATACTAGTAACAAGAGGACGCTACCAGCAACAAGATTGAAAGCTCCATATTGATCGCAGCTAAAGCCAGGTTTCACAAAGCCAGCTTTGTCCCAAAGCTACCCCCATTTCGAGTACCGTGGGCTGGAAACCACCCATCTAGGGGCTCAAACGGGAGATTCGTCACGATTCGCAGGGTGGGGGAAACTTTTCAAGGCTCTTCTGCTTAGCCGGGGGTAATCTCTGGCTTAGCCTGCTGGAAGGCCCTGACAAAGATTGGGTGAATCAGCACGGAACGACTGTATATGACAACACGTCATGGTGATCCCAGTGGAGATATCATGGATGGCTGCTTTCGGCACAAAGATGCATAACGCGATTAATGATTAATCTTGGAACTGACCACTGTTTGCTAAGAGAATATGGCAAATGTCGCAAAGAACATTTGGACGCGCGTTGGATCTATTTTTTTGAGTTTGTTCATCATTGTCGGGTGGTTAAAACGTTCACCCAAGAATCTCTTTCCCAACTCCGCCAGGCACTGACACTGCTGGCGCTGCCAAGAGGCTCTTCATGTTCAGCTTCCATGCCTTCTCTTCCTTAAACACGGTTGGAATTTACAATGTTGACACCAACACCCCTGCTAATCTGTGGACAACATATTCTCACATTGGAACCTCTCAATGGACAAACCACCCTCAACAAAACTGTTGACACACCTGACCCATTGCAAATAGATGTGGAATGATGTGGATACAAATTGACATCACACTTTCCCTGGATTCCATGCTGCTGGCTCTCAGCAAAGCCTATCAGCCCAGCATATAGTCAGGCCAGTCTTCGACCAAAGATCTTGAGGGGCTAAGTGGCTAGCAGGGGTCGCTGACAATGCCCTACAAACGTCAAACGCTATGAATTCTCGAGAAGCAACCACGTGCCGCTTACCTTTTTTCTGATGTGTGAATGGGTACAAGTTTGGGGGCCAATTGCGGCTTTGTCACCGGAGTTCCGTCCCTGGCCCATGCTTTGCCTTCATGTTTCCAACACCAAGTCAACCCCTAAACAGCACTTTTTTGGGGGGGCCGTTTTGGGAGGCATCTTGCAGGCCAAAATAGCGTTTGGGACGACAGCAGCCGTCTTTCATAGTATCTTCTATCCCTCCCTTGTGCATAATATCGCAAGTCAACTACTTTTGTACACGCGCAACCGTGACTGTCGTGGGGTGAATATATAATCCTTCCCAGCGCCCGTGCAAGGGAGACCAGCTCTGCACATCGAGTGTCCAATGGCTATCTTGTGGTCCGAGACCAACTGAGTGAGCACCTGACAGGTGACAGGTGACTGTGACTAGGACCTGCTCCATCACCAGGCAGCCGTTCTTCTATTCTGCGTCCACAAATGGCGGTGCTTTTTTCTGCTGTATTGGCCCCCCCCGACTGGACCAAATTGAGGATCTTCACTTCTAAACGTGCCCAAGCTGTTTTGGATTGTTTCGGGGGTCCCTCATGTTGAGACATCCCAGATGATCGATCTGGCTGACTCATGCTGACTCCCCAGGGCACCCATGAGCACCATGCTGACTCCCCGCGTCACACACATGCCAAGCCATCGAGGTTTAACAAAGGCGTCAAGGCACTACCGCCACCGCGTAGAGGCAAGCGAAGATGAGAACCATCGTCCAAAAAAGGGATTGCAAAGAGTCCTGGGAAATTGCACGAGGAACGTGCCCAAAAAGTTAAAGTGGGCATCATAAATGCTACTAGTAACAAAGGGCATTACTACTAGTAGCTAGAAGCTACTAGTAGCAGGGGCATTGCTACTAGTAACAAGGACATGTAGGAAAGAGGAACGCGCCCCAAAAACGTAAGGCATGCGGCCGGGCGGCGCGGAAAAAGGGCGACTCTTGAGACGTCTCGCGGGCCGTTGCCGCCATATTGGCCGTTGGGCGGGTCGACCGTTCAGCCAGTGGATGTGGTACCTAGAAAGTAATATTTGCCTGAGCTACGCAGTTGGGGTGATCTCCCACCCCACTGGTGTGCGGTGATGTACGCTTTGAAACTCATATATAGACTATCCTTGCATCCGGGAAGTCCAATGGTCTTCCAGAACGCTGTGGGCCAAAGGGAAGTGTAAACGCCTTGCTGGCACGAAAGGGAATTGGCCTGGCTTTGATATGTTCACATCTCTGGCCTTTGGTTAGTATATATGTGTGACGAGTTCCAAGATGCTCGAGTTTGGTTTAGAGCCTGCTTGGAGGAATGGTTTCCCATGTCAAAGGAGTAAATTAAACAACACATCCCCTGCGTACGATTTGATGTTGAGCTGCGGTACGGGGAGTGCATCCCTAAAGTTGATGATGTTTGGAAGACTACCAGACTATGTGGAACTCTTGGACCACCATCCTGGCTTCCGAATCCTGGGTTCCGCATTTTTGCGAAGTCTCCATGATTGAGCTGATGAGGATGTGAAGCTCTGGGAACACTGAGGCGATGCGCGCGATCCGCAAGATCCGTACCAGCTTCAGGACGCGAAGGCCTGAAGCGACCGTCCAACGGTGTGCAAATGGCTGAACAAAGTGATGTTCTTATGAGGTCTAATTATGCTATCAACACCCTTCTATACTAAGATTTTACTAGTAGACTGTGATGAACATAAATGGAGCTGTCAGCTGCGGATCAATCTAACCTAACATGGAAAACCTTCACTTCAAATAATGTAGTAAACAGTAAACATATGTAAACATTATGTAAACATCATAATACTCCCGTACTGCAAAGGCCCTCTCGGAATAAAAACAAATGCATGTTTGTTGAGTTTTGGGGACCACAAAATGTGGATCTTCGCATGAAAGAAACGCATATGTGAGATTTATCGGTCTTCAGCTCCTACCAGCCAGCCTTGCGAGGTTATGTACAAAGAAACATCTCGTGGACAGAATATGCGTACCATGTGATCATGTGTGGCTTTCTGACTGCTTGCCACCAAACAATCAATGAGCCCATCATGAACCCCATTACAGTACCTCCACTTCTGCGACGTCCGTAGGTCCGCCTTGAATGGTCCTGTGGCTGGTCTCCCCACTGATCGCCGAGCGTTCCAAAACGCCTCAGGGCCATGAATGGTGAGTGCAAAGAGAGCAAAACAACACGCCGTCCGACAGTGATGTGGATCGAAACATATTTAGCTGCCCAGTGGTCCTACCAGACTCCCAGCGGTACCGTTCTTTTTTTTTTCCGTGTTGTTTCTTGGTGGGGGGAAAGCTATGGGAGGCCCCGGTTTCTTTGGATTGAACAGTTGCAGTGAGCAAATGAACCAAATGATCTCAAGGAGCATGATGTTTCCTGGCTTGAACTGACGATGAGTTTTGTTTACGACATTTTGCAACTGGGTGCATTCCTCCCGCTAACCCAGGAACATGAGGAGGCAAAATGCAGCTGCAGCGTTCATTTGATTGTTTGCAGGCTCCGGTGGAACATGATGTTCCTTTTTCGGAGGTAACACACAACTCCCAGCAAGCCTTCACACTGCTGACTGAGCATGCTGTGAGGTCACACCGACAGATTCTTGCAGGACAAACAGTCAAAAACATCAAGACTCAACCTACAATGTGGGAGGAAAAGGTCTTTGTTCCAGGCTTGAAGCACCTGCCCACAACTTCCGCATCAAGCCGAAGTTGTGGCTGCCCTTGACAAAGGTCTCCTAAACCAGGTGGCCAGATTTCGCAGAGCTTCGGCCATATGTGTTGTGAGCCTTGTGACTCAATTCGAGCAAGTCCTGCTGTACGATTCTCGCATTTTGCCGCTCCTGACGTCATTAAGGATGAAGGAATACGTATGTCTTTTTCATGTGTTTTTGTTATTTGTAGTGTCGTGGGATTTTGGTGCGTTCGCTCGCTTGGCGGAGCGAACAGGGAGGTCGACCAGAGGCGATTCAGGTCGCTCCACCGAGCGAACAAGGCTTTCTGCGACCCAAGAGGCTGCCTAACAAGTCTGCCACCTGTGTCGCCACCACGACGGTGTCAAAGAGATTCCACTTCCAGTGAGCCTGACGTGTCGTATGGGCAGGAAGTCCTCGTCACAAAAAGTAAATCTCACGGAAAAAAAAAGGCAATACCCAGAACGAACAGGTCGCATGTGAGCCTTCTGAGAAGTGCCCTGCTTTCTGGCCAATTGGAGGCTATTTCAGGGGACCTCTTGGACCACGACCCGGTTGGTGGAGTGGAGCTGCGACCTCTCGGTCGCCGGCAGCCGAACCTGTTGGTGGCGAAGTAGATGATCTTTCCAGTTTTGAGGGTGTCAAGATACATGGCTAACGAACATTATAGACTTATATCAATGGGCACTCCCATATCCGGTTGGTGCATTCAACTCACTTGAAACATAGCGGGTTCAATCATCCCAAGTAAAGGTTGAACATAACAATGATTGAAACCACCACCCTAATATGGTAGTTGCCTGTCATGCAGAACACTTGAACAACATCAGGCACAGTACTGAATTTGATGATGGAATATAGCATTAGCAAACGACATATGTTTTTGGATTGTCAACACATCCTAACTCGTCACATAGGAGCCGCGTGGCAAATCCCTTCACCCCATCCGGGTTGTGATTTTTCATTCAGCATCTTCCGCTTAGACGCCTCGTAGAAAAAAGTACAGTCCCTGTGCGACCATGCGGATGAAGAGCTCCATCAGCGCCAAGACGCAGAAGATCCAATCCTAGACGCACACCGTGGTGGCAAAAAAACACATGGAACCTGAAAACCCTCGGGTTGTAGACAAAGGAAAACCGTCTTTCAAAAGTCCATGCCATCAGGTTCCATGTGGGTCTCTTCCCTGGTGTAACCACTCCGATGTTTCTCTGCTCCAAACGGTTTTGGGACGCCGGGAGGGTGAGGAGCTCTCGTTGGGCGTTTTTGCAAATAAGAGGAGATGAGTGATGCCCAATGATTAAAATAGTTGAGCTTCTTGGAGCCGTCAAAGGTCTCAACATGTCACAAGTTTTGGGAACATGAACCTCGGCCAAGAAAAACAAACACTAATTATCACTATGTCTCACGGGTATGTATGGCCAGCTGTAGGGGATCCAGGCCATTTCTGGATTTCCAAAGCGCAAAAAGGAATCTGCAAATTCCTCAAGCAAAAAGAACTCAAAGAGGACTGTCCGAGGCCTGGGTGACCCTCCCAAAAATGCGCTGCTGGGTTACAACACCTGTTGGAGTGCAGGGCTTTTTCACGGTGCTCAGCGACTGGAAAGGCAAGGCCGATGGAACCACCCGGCACCAAAAAAGACCGCTGGAGCCCGGGGGCAGGCCGATCAGCCAGGCCTATGCCTCGCAAGGAATGGACAAAAAGGCCATAGTTCCACAAAAGTAGGCCACAAAAGCCGTTTGAGGGCAAGCCGCTGCCGTTCACTTCCCTGAAATATCAGCGCACCAAAACGTAGGATGAGCTCAATGAATGATGAGCAAACAAAGGAAAAGGTGGTCATGATGCTTACCAATGGGAGAATGAAGCAGTCCGTTCAATTCTGCCGCCCAACACGCCCAAGGCACGCCATAGTGAAACCAGTCTGGCATGTGGCTGCTCCAATGGCGAGCCACCCAATCCTTGGCCGCACAAAAACCCCGCGGAAAGGCCAAGGTGGGGCATCCTAGTCCCACAAATTTTGATCGAGGTGAAGAACTCCAAATCCGAAAACCCTTAAATGGAATAGAAACGTGTTCCTCTTTGCACCGAAGGTGCTGTGCTCAGGCCAATCCACACCGCGTTGAAGACCACCAGCCAAGCGCTCAGAATCTCAGTGGCAGTTCCAAGTGTGCTGGTGTTGTTGTTGTTGTTGTTGTTGGTAGAGACAAAAACAGCTGCCCAACATATATAGTTGTCACATGTTGCAAGTCAGGGATTTCAAAGGGACACTGTTAGGGATAGGGTCGAAGGATTGGAGAGATGTTAGTAGCTGGACTTCTTGTCGTTGTGGTGCTCAAGTCTTGGTTGGTTTGTTTGTTTTTCTTAATGTTTTTTTTGGTGTGTTGTTCTGGAGGGGGGGCTCACAAAGCAACAACGGGGCTGCAGATGTTGTTTCTAGGGGGGGTAGAGACAACAACATCTTTTGAGATCTTTTGAGGCGGGGGGGCAAAAAACAACAACGGGGCTGCAGTTTTTGTCTCTATAGGATGTGATAGAGGTTTTAAGTAGAAGTTTTATAGAGGCTTAGCTGACCGGACTACTACTACTACTACTACTACTACGACCACTACAACAAAGACTACTGCTAGTACTAGTACCACTAGTACTAGCACTAGTACAAGCACTACCACTTCTGGTAAAAGTACATGTTGGCTGGTTGTTTTCGGGGGGGGGTCAAAATATCAACGACGGGGGTTGCAGATTTTGTTTCCACCCCCTTGTAGAGACAAAGGAACAAGATATCTTGTAACGAGGCTGCAGTTTTTGTTTGTACCTTGTTCTTGTTGTTGTTGTTTGGCTGTTAGGGAGGGCAAGGAAGGAGGAAAGAGCATGGCGATGGAAAATTCGCATGAATTTGGGTCCACTGCCTCAGATCAAGAAAACGAACCACCAGGGACCAGGGATGTCAAACTACCACGGTGTTGTTTTTTGTGTGATGTTTTTGCGGTCGCTGACCTGTGATCCAGCCCCACATTAAAAAATATACAGCCTGCAAATCCAGGGATGGTGGATTTCAACAATATCATTGCACAGTGCTTCCTGCACCCTTCCTTCCGCACCTTCAACAGGAGCCTTATTCTGATTTTGTTCATCCACCATAAGCCAAACCAGTGGCTTCTGCTCCCACTGGATGTCATATGGATGAATGAAAAATGCAGTAACACCCCAAAACCCAAGAGTGGCTACAACTGACCGGGGCACCACTTGCGTTAAAACCTTGTGAAGCCTGAAGGATTGGTAAGTTGGTGAAACGAGCCACGTCGTGATACAAATTCATCCAAATCAGTGGCCATGTGGAAACATACCCCCAAATATGGAACCACATAGACATAGAATATGTTCAATCAAGACGCACAATTACTACCAATACTGCTATCATTTGCTCTTGCCAAACGGGTCAGAACCATCTCCAATACCAATACCATTTAGACCTGCCAGCAGTCATCGCACCCCAACACACACGGAACGAACACCACTAGTTCGTCTAGAATGATCAATCATCGTTGGAATGCGCCCGAACAAAGGGTCTTTGGCTCTGAGTAGCGGGCCGTAATCCACAATAACCCACCACCCGCGAACATTCTGAACATGTTTTTTCGACTGCAAGTATACGGTTCAAAACAACAAGTAAGTGGCTTTCCATCGCCTAGCCCATGCACCCACACACTCACATGGAACCGCCAAAATATGAAATATAGGCTTGTAGTTGTATAAAAAAAACTGCGTCGTTGTTCAGGGTGCATGAGAACTGTTGGGAAAGTGTTGAAACTGTAGATAGTACATGGCCTTTAAATTTATTCCAGAATCCGAACTCAAACTCTTGTCATGCATTTCCCCCACAAAAACTCTTGCCACCACCCGGTGCGGACGAGACTGCGTCAAAGTAGTGGCTGTTCAAGATGGACGTGCAGCACGAGACCAGCAAGGAACTCGGCAGCAGTTTTGTCTTCACCATGCCCAGTGGATCAAACTTTGCATGACACCCGACGCCCTAATCAAGCAAGCACAATTTAGTTACAAAGCTCCTGCATGAGGTGGAAAATTACCTGCTGGGATGGTGGTCGTCCAACTCATGTAAAGAAAGCCCCCGCTCACGTTTCGCGGCACCAGGGGCAGAACGCAAGACAGAAGCACTGCTGAACCAGCCAGCATCAGCAGCTTCGACATCTTTAGCAGTTCTAGTGCGATCACATTCGTGCAAGATTGCAGCAGCGCAGTTCTGATGAAGTCTGAACACTTCATTATGTCATGGTTGGCAGCAATCTGGCTGGTGGTGTCCTCAGGTCCTCTTCCGAAAATAGTTCAACGAGGGAATTTGATGGAATTTGTATTCATTCGCCGAGTTGTGGGTGTGCAGTCAATTACAGTCAGCTTGATGGAACACAGGCAGGGAACCCTCGTCCCAAGAGGTTGCCCCCCACTTTTTTACAAAGTTGGTGTCGACACACGGGAATTGGCGGAGCCCCAGCAAATTTTAGACAACAATGTGCAAAATAGCTCATTTGGATAGAAGTCCTTCCCAAGGTCACATCAAAATCTCGAGGCGCCTTCCAACATCATATGGACAGATCTCCATGACCCAACCCCACTCAAATTAAAACGACTTATTAAAAAACCAAAAACATCCAACGAAACCAGCGGGCTTTGAAGCCATCCTGATTTGAAGCCATCTGGTGGCACAGGTGACTTGAGAAAGGAGGGGGTGAACGAAAGGTAGCAAGCAATCAGTGGTAGAAGTCCATGACTGCGTCAAAGGTGGATGGATGTGACCCAAGCAGCGATGGCGCAGGGGGGGGGAATGATCCAGGGAGGGCCCCCCCCTGTCGAGCAGAATCCCTTCTTACAGGACCGAACTCAATGCATATTCATATTCCCAACTTCAGATTGTAATACATGTTTGCTAAAGCAAGGAGAACTCAGGTAGCTCGAGCTACCTTTCGTGATTTGACTGCTACGACACGTCTGCTACAAACGCAAGCTACGACGCCGTGAAGCTACTGTTCCACTGGATTCTCTATCCAAGTGCAGATTCAATGGCAGGAGAGACCCCAGCAATCAGGGCACCACCTCGCAAGCCCAAGAAACCCTGATCATAATAGATTGGTAGATGTTCACGACATCTCTGGTATGTCACGTTCATCCTTAAGAACCGCGAATCTTTCGAGCCATCGCTGACTCAGAAGGCCGGGGGTCGCGGGGCAGGGAAATTGTGGGGTTGAACCAAATCTGTACGGATGATAGTTATTTGTTGTGCAGCCTACAGTGGCAGGAGACCAGCAGCTCTTTTGAGATATGGGTCTGTTGGGGTGCCCAGGGTCTTATTCTGGTTCTCAAAAGGTTCGGGAGATCCTTAGATGTGCTCTCTTTTTGCAGGTTACAGGCTCCCTTGATATATATATATATGTTTACATATATTGTATATATAATATATTGTATGTATATATATATATATATACATGGAAGCTTCTCTCTCCAGGGCTCTCCAGGCTGCCAGCCAGATTAAGACTGACCAGGGACCAGCTTGTACCTGCTGGGATCATGTTCCGAGCATCCTAGGGCACATTCGAGGGGCTAGGTGCCCACTAGCATTGTGCAATATCTCGGCACTTTGAAAGGCAGCGTGTTGGGTAGATGCGGTCCAACCTAACAGTAGCTTTGGATATCTTTGGACATGATATTGCAACATAATTTAGACATGTGTATGTGACGGTGTGTGCGTCCCAGTAGTGAGCCGCATCCGGATGCACCATGCGCCTGGTCTCACGTGATGGGCATCAGAATTCCCCTGTCTCAATGTGCCCACTATGGTGGGCACCCCTCGTCATGAAAACTGCTCAAACAGCTCAGCAGGTGCTGATCGCTGAACACTTGTGTGAGTGACACTGCCGAAACAAACACCAACAGCCTTCCAGATTCCAAAGGGCTCTGCTCATTCGGCCCAAGCGAGGTCAACCGGAGCAACCAAAACCCTGGAACATACAACAATTTCCAAAATACAACCCTTTTCACACAAGACGCCATAGACCCAGTAATTAATTGACAACTCTGTTTCTCACGTTCCAAGCCCGTACTTCTCCTGTCCCAAACCGGCTGCCAAACCCATAATTTACCTGCCAAAAGCATGCATGTATTGTATGCATGGTTTTTGAGAAACCTGGTGTTGGTTGCAACATCCCATTTTTCTTTTTCAGGACCCAACAATTGTTCGAAATGTCCAATTAGTGAACCACACTTCTCAAAGTAATGGCGTTCCTTCGCCCTCTTCCCTCACCCAGCTCGCTCACTCGCTCCCTCGCCAAGCGCTTCCCGTCGCGCCGTGCAAACCACGTGGCCAGTGGCTCGGGTTCGCCTGGTTCTCTAGGTCCGAGGTATCGATGGGCATGTAGCGGCCACTGGCCTCGGGCATGGAGCGACGCGCGCTCCTGCCGCGTCCCTTGTGGGCAAAGAACGCACGAGCTACGCGGGGTCATTTTGGAGGGGTTGGAGAGAATGAAAGAAAAACCATCGTTTTAGCATCGGAGGCGGCAGGTGGTCTTTCGAAAATATCACCCGAACAGATCCAAACAGGGAAATGCTGTGTGGCGCTACTGTCTTGTATGGGTTGCCACCTTGATTGAAAAGCCTCTGAAACACATGTTGCCAACCATAGGAATCGACCATGCGGCAAATCTTCAACTTCGATCACATCCTGATCAACTGTCCCAACGACTTATGTTTATTTATTGATTTTACTCAAAATATTTACAGATTTTACTGTATATATAAAATTTTATCGTCGGTGGGAAATACATATGTACATCCTGCGGTATTCAGCTCCATGGATATCGCATCCATCATCCATCATATGAATCAAACAGCTAAATCAGCTGAATCAGCTTGGCCATGCTGGGCCCCTGTGCTTCCCTTTGGTGGGGCCACCCTGTCACCATCCCAAGCCCCTTTGCTGTCAGGTTGGCTCGTTTGTTTCCCTTCTTCTTAGTGCCTCAGTCCGGTCGACCCGGACGTCCCACCGAACAAACACCGACGTGTCGCGGCGTTCATCCGGACTTGGCCGGGCCAGTCATGAGCATAGTAGTTGGACTTCAGGGGCATAGTTGAACTCATCAGGGCCATCTTCCACGTCACAAAAAGATCGACTGACGAGCTACACATCTTCATAGACTGCATGGACCTTTACGGGAACATGTCCAGGGAGTGCAAACACAAATCCACCCAAAATTATGAGTGCCCAGTGCCCAGGTTCACATGGATGTGACACACCCAAAGAGTCAAGTAGAAATTGAACTTTTGAGCTCCGGGTTCGTGTGATCTTGGAGTATGGACATTCCAGCTCAGGCGACTTCGAAACCCCTGCGTCGGTGAATCGGTTCACCTGACCTCGGCAACAATGGTCGCAGAGATCTTCTTTCGACCGCCGCGCATCTAGAACTATCTTGCTCTCGCTCATGTTTGGTCATGTTAATCGAGGTTTTCTTCCACCCTGCAAGTGCTCAAATAAAATAATGATGTCAGTTGGCAAGTGGCACTTTTCTTAGGACCTTACGAGGGCAAGGAGATGGTGTAATTCCACCTTCTTCACGAAATCCATGTCATCCCAACTTAGGGGCATGGGAAGGGTTACTCCACCTTCCCACCTTCGCGCGCTGGTCGCTGGCTCGCGTTTGGCGCCAAGTGGCGCATGTAAGTGGCCTGGCACGGAGGACCAGCGGAGTTGCAACAGATGTGTGATCTTGAAATGGCTCCCGGCATCTCCCGGCCCATGGTTGGGTTAGGGATGTGATGGGCTGCCTGTGTTCAAACCTACGACTTCGCAAGACCTGCGTCCTTTCACAGGACGGTTCACGGCCGAGACACAGCGGGATGAACAATGGTTAGTATCAGGACCTGGCTCGAAACACACAGGTGTGGTTTCAAGGACCTGTTCGCCCCCCCGAAACCCCGTGAGGTCTGGTTTTGATCGCTTAAGGGTGTGTCCACCGGCCGGTCCCAGCTGCTCGGACTTGGTCTTCAAAGTCTCAGAGCGAGAAAATGGGACAAACTTCCAAGAGAGGTTGAGAGACCTGAATCGTTCGGACCCAGTAGTGGTACCTATGGGATGGGCGAAACAGGGCTGTTCAACCAACTGACCAGCTTCTCTTGAATTCGTTTCCGAATTTGGTGCCCACGCATGTCGTTTCCCACGTTTCCCGTCGCTCACGGCGTCGCCGAATTCCCGCCCAAACCAGGTGGGGGGTGCCGTGAGGTCACGCTCCAAAGCCTTCTTCGCCTCGCTGGAGGCGTCGCCCAGCAAGGTCTCCTTGGACCCAAAAGGGTTGAGTAGGTTCGATTGGTTTCAATGGGTTGGTGGCTCGGTGGCTTCTGGCTTGTGGGTTTGAGTAGGTTTCTCCCAGCAAGCTTCGTTGAGTTTGGTTTGAGTGGGTTGGCTCCATGAATCGCTCAGGGCCAAACTCTTGGGGTGGCCAACGGCCGCCGCAAGAGTGGACGGGAATGGGGGGGATCATGTCACTTCGCGGGTGAATTCATGTCACTTGTGGTGGATCTTCCCCACTTCCGATCAAAGAAGCACCTCTGCTTGGGTTCAAAGAGCTGCCCCAACTGCGCAAAGAAACTTCGCACACACTTGAACATCTGCTGAGGACACGAATCTCACAGCCAGGAGATCTGGACTTCTCTTGCTTATTTCCGACCTGTGGTCTAAGTTTGCAAAGGTTGACGCCTCCCTCTCACAAGTCACTCCACTCGAAAGGATGGACTGGAAGGGAATCATGAACATTTGTGTATGTTTATATATATAAATATATGCGTGTGGATGTATGGAGAGAGAGACAGTGTGTTTGTGTGTGTATGTATGTATGTATGTATGTATGTATGTATGTATGTATGTATGT